TTCCTTCCTTCCTCCCTCCCTTCCTGCAGTAGTAGTGATCGCAGCCAGGGCAGGGAAAGCTCAGCTGAGAGTAAAAGACTCATACAGGCATAGAATCATAGAATCAACCAGGTTGGAAGAGACCTCAAAGATCATCAAGTCCAACCCTACCATGGTTACTAGCCCATGGCACTAAGTGTCACATCCAGTCTCAGCTTGAAAACCTCCAGGGATGGTGAATCCACCACCTCCCCCAGGCAGCACATTCCATATTTTTTCCCCAATGTTTCTGTTAGATCGTTACAGAATAATTATAGCTGTATTTGGAATGAAGAATCCTATGGTTTCTACCCATCTAAATAACTCGTTCAGGGAAGAAGGCGTTTAGACTGCTCATGCTGCTTGATGGAGAGATAAAGGAAGTGAAATAAAAATCTGATCATCTCCACTCTGAGAACCAAAGGGACACTAGAACAGTGAGCATAGCATCACAGGAAATGGATAGTTACTACAAAGAGCTCTTTGTGTAACAGTTTTAACTGTATAATTAAGGACTTTCCACATTCATTTGATTCTTACTGTAACTGATGATCTGGCTTGAAAAGTCTCTGAGATCTGATCCCAGCCTGCTGAAGCTCAGCTCTTAACACATCTATATCACTCAACTGAGGACATAGGAAAATAGTTTTAAGCTTTTTTGTTGGCTGCTCCAGCAAACTTAGTATTTTTCCATAAATGCATTGAAACAGACTATGATTTTTACCTAGATGTTAAGGTTAATCAGTGTTTTCAACTTGAAATTGTACACTGAATGAAATTGTACACTGAAAGTGTTTCTCATACACTTGTTTCAAAGTTCTTAGTGAAAACCTGTGTGTCAAATGGCTCTTTGAGCAAGAAAAAGTAGAGTACAACTTAAGCCTACACAGGCCACAAACCAATGCTCAGATTCCAAATTCAGTCTTTAGCAAATTTTTAATGATATGGTTAATGGATCCATTGCAATGCATCACAAATTTAAAAAAAAAGTAATTTAGATATGGGAAGAGATAAAAAGTGAAAAAGAAATTAAGAATAAAACACAACCTGCAGGGAAACTTCAAGTGTTATTTCGTATCATCTTCTACACAAAACTGGAATTGAAGTAGTTTTGACTATATGGACAATCACAAGAAAGTGTTTTGAGTTAAATGAAATGTTACCTAAAACAAGCTGTGTTTTATCAAAATAGGATTATCTTCAGAATCCTCAGGCAGTGCTTGCTCCTTTTCCTACCTTCATGACTAAGTAATTCCCATTCATTTTCAATTCATGCACCTTGTCTATATGCTACCTACTGTTTTACTTTTTGGCTTCAATATCAAGTGAATCACATAAAACCTCTGGAAAACCCGACCAGTCTGCAGAAAAAAACGACCAAATGAGAAAATAATATGCCAGATCTACAGAGTAGCTGATAGCCTGAGAGGCATCTGTCTCTGTATTTGTGCTCATTTTTGTTGTAAAGAAGGGGTATATAGGGAGGGCCAAAGATACTACTAGACATTTCCATTGGCCTCAGTTAAACTCACTTAGGTCAATCTGATGCCCATCCAGAGTGCTAGGAACTATATCTGCAACTGAAATCAATGGACACTTTGCTCTGCCGGTTTCATTTCAGAGGAAAGAACCTCTCAGAGGGCTAGGAGACTACACTAGTAGCCTCCTAGCTTGGAAGAGGCACAAAAATCACAATGCATATCAACACCACATCAAAGCTCTGCTAGAATCTAGGCCCCACTACAACGAGAATCTGCATTAGCAAAGCTCACCCCTTCATATGGTAACAGAGTGAAAACAGAAGTTTTCAATGGATTTTTGAAGCCACCTCCCAAGCCCCCAAAGCATACCAGAAAATTGTGGAGAGAAGCAATATACCCTCTTTCCAGTGGCCAGAACTGCAGTGTTACGGGCAATTCACTCAGTGAAATTACCTCCTCAGATAATTTCATCCTGCCCCCCAAAACAGTATTTATGTAAGCCAGAAACAACAATTTCTGTGTTATTTAAAAAGATCAACAAGAACACAATGGTGTTTGTCTCTTTTATTATGAAAGATACAAAACCGGAGTCTAGTGAAGCTATCATTAGAAATGTGAACTTTTTTTGAAACAACTTTCTATTTACATACACAAAATTCCCCAAGAGGAACAATATCAAATGTGAGACACATTATCAGAATATACCGCATATACAAGTTCAAAGATTTAACATCTCTGTTACTCTATACATGATTGCTACACAGAACGTCAATTCCTACCTGTTTGGCAAAAGTAAGTGTTTTAAATTAAGTTTATGAGATTATTCAAGCAAAATAAAGCAGAATCTGGGCACAGTTCTGCTATCTGAATGTTTACTTTGTAAGTAGAGTACAAAATAATAGAGCCAGGTTTTAAAGTCAGGCTGAATTTTCTGTTGTGTCAAACAGCCCATGCTCCAAATTGATAGAAGTATGGAAATTGTTACTGCTTTTCATTGACATCAAACCAGAAATACCTCTGGAGCTGAAGATGCACTGGTTTTCAGATCACTGATCAGTTATTACAAAAAACAAGCATTTTTATTTAGTTTTTAAAAGCTCTTCCCTCAAGCATAAAAGCCAAATAAAATACTTGAGTTTGTGTTGTGTGATCAGACATTCTGTTTAAAAACTTCAAAACAACAGGACACACCACTTTGTACTGGTTTTGACTGGAACCAACTACTGCTTAGTTGGTAAGGCACTTCTTCCTTCCAATTAGTCCACTTCCTTAGATTTTAGTTCAGCTGCATTTCACATAGAGAAGTGACTTCAGCTATGCCACTTGTGACAGCAGATGGGATGTTGTTAGAAACTGTTGCTCTCCATGCATGGATGGCCTCAATAATACCCTCTGGATTGCTTGAACCCAAGTCACATAGTGAATATATGGCTGCCAGCTGCACACCCCAGGGAACACCTGCAAAAAGTTAACACAAATCAGCTTAGAGAAACTTTGATAGGCAAGAACGTTTTTGGGACTCCTGAATCTAAAGAAAATATTAGTTCAAGAACTGGAAATAAAACACGTCAACAACTGTGGTGCCTGAAACCAAACCATAGCAAGATGACAACCTGCACACAAATTCCCTAACATCTCATTTTATACTGGCACTTTTCAGTTCTCAATTCAGAAAGTTTTCACCATTCAAAAGGCATAAAAGAGTTAAGCATCTAGTGATTTTACTCTAGTTAAGAGTAATCAGACTTATGAAAACAGTCAGGTTTACACTGAGCCTGAAACACAGACATATAGCACTTAACTTGGAAGAATTTGAGATTGAAAGGAAGAGAAGCAATACAGTTGGTTCAAAACAGCTCCCTAGCATCAGCCAATGCTTCACTGCAAAATGTACTTAATATCCAGAACAACTTAGCCATGTAGATCTCTGCTACCCTAACTGCCTTGCTTTGTCTCAGTCAAGAATTTGGACTGTCCTTCTCCCAGTACAACAATCTTGCAAGTAGTATGCACCAGCATGAGCTGCTTAAGTGAAAAATTAGCTATTACTGCTCAAGTTAAGATCACCCTTTAAGTTCTCTGATGCAGCTGATAGGCTCTTACATGAAACAGTCCAATTCCAAGGTGGCTGAAACCATCTCAGAATTTTTCTCAGCCTCAAACAGAAGGTAACACTGTCAATGCTTCATTAACTTTGGAAGAGAAAGGGACTCAAAAACTGCTTGGTTTTTTATGCACTAACATAAATTGCACAATTGGTCTGTTTTGTCATGTGCCTCTCAATTTGTGTTATGGTCTAGCATTGGCAAAACTTCACATTGCAGGAGTTACACTAAAGCTCCTCTAAATAAACCTTACCTTCCTCTTTTGCATGCTGTACAAAGAGTCCAACTACAGAACTAATATTCTTCACTGCAGCAACATATCCTTCCTTCAAACCTATTTGGCCCAATCGACCTGAAAGAAAAAAAAGGGGTACTATGTATCTGACTATTCAGTCAATTTCCTAACATACAGACTTCCTGATTTTCTGTTGACGTATCAACTGAACATGCAAATTTCAATTACAAAAATATGAACTCTTGTTACCATGTTGTCTTGGGAACAACAGTTGTCCTATTCCTTTTGTAACTAAAGACCCCAAGGCATTTTTCATCAGACTGATCCAACCTCCCACAGGTTTACAGTTTTAAAGTGTAAAACTCAGAAAGAATGCAATTTTTGCTTAACAAACAAAATACAGCCTACATAGTGAAAAATTTGGAAACTCAAATTACATCTATTTACCTTGAATGCCATCTAGATCCCAAATAAATTAATCTAAAATAAAATTATTGTGGTCTTATGTTGCATGTAAAACCTTATTTTTATAGACTTTGCTATCAAGCACATGGTATAAAGCTGTGTCAGGGGAGGCTTAGGTTAGATATTAGGATGAGGTTCTTCACCCAGAGGGAGTTTGGGCACTGGAACAGGCTCCCCAGGGAAGTGTCACAGCACTGACAGAGTTCAAGAAGTGTTTGGACAATGCTCCAGTACGTGGTATGATTCCTGGGGCTTTCCTGTGCAGATTCAGGAGTCGGACTTTGATGATCCTACCTAGTGGGTCCTTTCCAACTCAAGACAGTCTGTAATTCTCTATGTAGCTACATATGATTTAATTTTAAATACATAAAACCTGTTGGTATTTGTCATCATGAATCAGAGTAACATCTCTCAGAACTTAAGTACCTGTTTTCCACAGGCTGATAAACAGAAAATATCTGTATAGGACTGTAAAACGTTGGCTTTTAAGGGGAAAAATTTTTAAGTTAAAAAAGTATAATCAAGATTCAATAAAATGGAAGAATGCAACTCACTTCCAGGCAGGCTGACACTTTTAAAGGACATACCTATACAAAGCAGAAGTTCAACCAAGAATTTAGATTACTTACCAATTAGCCTGAGTGTCAACGCTACAACACTATCAGGAACAGACTGAGCAGTTTCATGCCCCTTTCTTTTCTTCACCCAATTATCCATAGAAGGCCAAAGCACTTTGCTGTGAAAGAGAAATGAATTTGAAAATCTGATACTGCATGAAGGGGTGGTAGAGAATTCATACAATAACGCAGGCAAAGGGTTCCATAGCTCCACTTGCATCTTTCATTCACCTTCTAGGAAAACTTGTAACATTCCAAGCAGCCATAAATATGAGTAATGTAAAGAAAGTTTAAAACCCAAACAATCAAAGCTAACTTTCTGGAGGAATCATTCCTGTTCAGAGTAGTTTTGAAATGAAATTGTGTTGCTGTCAAATGTCATACTGAGATGTTCTGTTTCTTACAGGACTAAAAAATCAGTTTGCATGTTAAAAGTAAGATCTGATGCTTGTTCTATGCAATGTTTTATTATGTTAAAAGCTAAGTCATAATCAATTTGGAAAACCAACACCAAAACAAACCACAGAAAAGCCACACAGGAAAACATCTGAAAAAACTGCTTGCCACAATACCTTATAACATTGTCATGTGTCCAATCCCACTTCAGGTGAGAGCAGAGTAGATCGATGGCAAATATGTACTGCCAAGCATCTTCACTCAGATCCTCTCCATATTCCTCACTGAGTTGAAATTCTACTTTAGTACATGACTGCATTTCTAAAAGCAGGTTGGATACCATAATGCCAGCATCTAAAGAAGAACTCTGGAATTTTAGAAGATAATTATCTTAATGCATGAAAAGTTACCAGCCAGAATCAAACTATACGTTTGATATTTATATATATTTGATACTGTACACAGCATCTTACAACACAAATCCAACTTTGGTTTGAATTTACTCAAAGAGTACATAACCCAAAACCTTCAAGTACTCAGTATTTTTCTTGATGCTTTTACTAAAAGGAGAGTTTGGAGAAAAAACAACCCAAACAATGAAAACCACAGACTTCATGCCCATTCTCTTATCTCCTTCTACAATTTGGGGATTTTTGTTTCTCTCAATGCAGCTTTATGGTCAGAAGAGTGTTATTGCAATGCAAGAAGATTAGACTAATATTCCTGACTTTCTAAATAATTTTAACATTTGTTACTGTTTATTCTTCATTAGGGGCTAATTTCCAAGCAAGTACTTTCAATAGTTGAGGTAGCAATAACTAAAAACATGCCATGTGAAACAATTCTGTTAATTAAGTGGCTAGGGGAAGCAAGGAAATTTAAAAACAAATATCCTTTGAATATCCTGAAGTATTAAGAAAAAAAGTCTAGGCTTATCACATAAACACAGTGGGTGCTTAGCAAATCTTCTCAGTACAAAAACTCGTATAATTGACAAGTCATGGGGCAAGTCACTAAAATGGCACATTTGGACCAAGAAATAAATATCCTTTCTACTTGAGTTTACTTTCATAAGCAGAATAATCATAAAGTTATAGGTATAACAGACTGTTGGTCACAATCTACTTGAAATTTCCCCCTGTATTTCCGCCTAAAAACACCTTACAGATTGGATGATGTCATCTCCTATCATCAGTATTGAAATTTCTGAGGTCCTTCTCCCCAGCTGCAACAGCATTCATGTTTCACAGAGATTCATAAATAAAATAGGTGCTGTGAATGCACAGAATTAACATTTCCAGGAACACTTACTAAGACATACTTATATGCATCTCTATTGGCATGATACTGAAAGCAATAACCTAATAGAATGGACAATACAAATTCTGCACTGAACAGGGACTGCACTACGGCGTAACTCTGAATACCAGAGTTTAACCCTACAGCACAGCTGTGATTTAACAAAAAAATCCAGATACAAATCCATGCCCTCTTAAATTTAGGGCCGATTTCAGAACTAAAAAAAACACTTAAAAAAAACCCAACCAGCATACGACACCTGAAGGCTCTGCTGACAGCAGTAAGAGTAGCTGCAGTTTTCCAGGCAGTTGTGGAGCAGCATGTTAGGATAGGGAATAGGCGAATTATGAATCAAGATGATTTTGTTCACTTGATATTTCCAAAACTACAGCACTTCCAGCAAGCAAGCCTGGCATTAATATGTGGTTTTCAAAAATATGGAGCCCTAGCCTTCAAACAAACACACAAGCCTGTTATACAGACACCTCTAGAAGTGAAGCACATCCAGTTTTCCATCTGCACAATATAAACTCGCTCCTCATGATTTCAAGTGTGCCCCAATTTCTCCTCTTTGCAACGTCCCTTTCAGGGTGGTAATATGTGCCTGCTGAAAACTGATGGAAGCTGAATTATTTGCCCAAGGGCTCAAAGTCTTGAAGACAAATCTCAAAAGTCTAAGATCCTTAACACTGGTCATCCTTCTTCTGCCATTACAGGTTTTGTATTGATCATTCCAATTGCTCAGGAACTGAACAGGCTTTTTTGGAGATAAATGGGTACTTGTAGTCTGTGTTGCAGAAAGATCACAAGTAAAAGAGACAGGATCATCTTGAAACTAACTGTGATAAACTACCTATTACACAGAGACCTAGGAAAGAGACGAAACTGACACATATTAAAAACTTCCAACAATACTAAACAACAGCATCTCAAAGAACATCAGTCACAGTTCCACAGATGGACAGAATTCCCTAGTCCAAGAACATGCTAGTTAAAGTTTAAAACCAATATTTATTTGTAATATTTAGTAGAGGGATTAGTATTTAATAGGGAAAACAAGTATTCTAGTAGGGCCTGGACAACTGGAGGAAAAAGCCCTGAAGCAGCATTAGTTGTGCAAGTGTACAGACTCCATGGGAGATTCACACCCTTCATTAGAAGTAAGCTGCTTGATTTGATTCAGCCAGCAAAGCCACCAATGCAGACAAAAGCTGATACTGACAATGAAAGCAAACATTACCTGTTCCCAGTTGATGTAAGCACTCAAACAGGGCAGTATCTCATTGCTGGCACTCTGCCTGACAACTAATTGCATAGCTTTGTTAATTGCACCTTGGAAGACAAATATGTCAGGCCATACATTTGTGATAAATAGAACCAATTTTTCAGAGTCTGGGAAGTCTAAGAAAAAAAAAAAAGAGATAACAAAGTAAGCCTTTAACATTTAAAAACCCCCTATCTGCAGGCATTAAAAGCTAGTACAGTCTGCAGCGAGATAACTAGGAAAGAAGGCATAGAAGTAACATCACAACTGCAGCCCAAGGAAGGGGAGTCATACCAGTCCATCTCAGTCCTGAGACTGAATAAAAAGACAGCCAAGAAAAAAACCCACACAGACAGTTTAGACACCTCCCTCAGTGTAATTTCACTCTCTCCTTTCATCTCTCTTACTGCACTTTAGCTCACTAAGGAGAGTGGTCTCAGAGCATAGAAACTGGATTGTTTTAGGATGAAATTTAACTGGAACATGCCCTCCAAAAGCCTACCTAATACATTCCAGTCACAAATATGCACTCTGATCACTGGATCAAACCAGAACTAGTGCAAAGAAAGAAAAGAAAAAAATCAGAGTGCAGCATGCACCCATACACCTACGAAATCCACATTAAAAAAAAACCCAAAAAACCAAACCAAAAAATTCTGCAAAGAACTTTTGTATAATTCAAATCTGACATTGCTCAGCAATTTTCCCCAGACTTCGTTAGGGAAATTTTACATTATACAAGTTGAAGTGAGCATATATGAATGGGAATGAATGGCCATGAATAGGAAGCCAACAGACCTTTCTGAACACCAAGGCAGAAAGCTTCAAGGCAAAATATGAAGATAAAACAGGAGTGTGTAGGAATGTGTAGACTGTAAGCAATAACAAATACATTGGAATATGTAAAAAAGTATATATTACTTTCATGCATGAAATGCAGTACTGGAATACATATGCCTGGCATACTATTACCACTCTTAAAAAGACAACAAATGATGCAAGTCTAATGAGGTAGTATTGACTGTTTATAGTCAATTTGGTAATTATGTAGCTTGTGTTGCCCTAATTCTGATTGAAGTTTGGATCTTACCTAGGAAAAAAAAAAGAAAAAAAGGGGAATGTTTAATATTTGCAAGAGCCCACAAAAAGTAAAAGTAACAAGGTACTGCAAAACTAAAGGCTTAATTGTTATTTTAGACTAAGAAATGCTACCTGACAAGTAATAGTTTCTAACATGGTGCAGTATTAAAACCATTAACATAAGAGAATCAAAGGAGAGTTATAATGGACTGCATGAAGGATAGAAAAACAGATACAAAAACCAGAATTCCAAAGAGAACCCAAGAAAAAAAACAACCAAACAAAAATATCACACCCCAAGAAAAAAACAAAAGATAATTAAGAACAAAATGAAATCAGAACCTTTCTAAAAGAAAAGGAAAAAGACAGAAATGTTACATGAAAGATAACCACTAATTGAAATAGCCACAAGTTGTAGCATTTTGCTCCTCAGTGCTCTCAAGTTTTATTAATTTTAACTTGAAACACAGATGCCATTATACTATTTAGCCCTGCATGGCTTGGTATTTTCAAACTTAGTGAAGTCCTTCCAAAACTAAGACAGTCTCTTAATTTAGTACTGTGATAGTATCTATGGATGTGTTATCTTTGTTATAGGAACAAAAGGAAGCAGGAGAGAGGAAGGGAACCAAAATGGAAAAAACCCTCTCAACCAAGCAAGACTTTGGATAATGGGAAGAAAAACCCTTCAATGAGGATGTGTTGTAAAAACACACTGGTTTTGATCAAGGTATTGTCCAACTCCTGACACTATTTTAAGCCAACAGATGATTTTCAATCATACTTGCTTTATGAATCAGTACTTAATTAAAACAAGAATATACTAATAGGCTAAACAGACAAAATTCCCTGGAATCACATTATCATTTTGGAGATGATGGAGCAAAAAGGAAAGCACAGAGGTTCCTAAATAAATATTTCTCTGGAAAAATAAGTAGACTACTAAGAGCCCAAGTCACCACCAAACTACAACACAGATGTGGAGGAACTGTGAGAAAGGAAATTTCTTCTAGAACAGTCTAGACTTCTGCATTATAGGAAAAAATTCTAAAGAAGATATCCCTTTCACAGGACTTTTACAAACATAGTTGTGGAACACTACAGCAAAGACACAGCATAGTTAAGATACAAGTCACTAAGCCACACTATACCTTCTTTAAGCAGGCTATAGCAGAAGAGTCGAGCTCTTTCCAAATCTCCCAGCTGTCGACAAATTCCTGCATAGACTCGGCACAGAGCCTGATTGAAATTGTAATTTGTGGCATTCTTCTGAGTCTTGAGCTTACTGAGAATAACATGCAGCAAGGAATCTGCTAAATGCTGTAAGGCACAAAAAATACTGTTAACGCTATTATATAGTTAAAATATTTCATGGAATCATAGAATGTTAAGGGGTTGGAATGGACCTTAAAGATCATCTAGTCCCAACCCTCCCTGCAGTGGGCAGGGACACCTCCCACTAGACCAGGTTGCTTAAGGCTTTATGTGGTAATAATGCTGTAGTAGTATGACAAATAAAAAGAACTACTATCCTATTTGCAAGAACACTGTTTGCATATCTATGAAAATACAGAAAAGTAAATCAGAGGCACATTGTGGGGAAAAAAAAAAAGAGAGGGGAAGCAACTTTCCAGAATAAAAATGCCTTAAACAGGTGGAGAATAGGACTATTCTTTAAAAATAAATTGTTTAGTTATGTGATTAAAAAAGATTTTCCTCAAACAAAGAACAAGAACAGGAATAATGACAGGTAGAAGAACTCCGATAACCTAATCAGAGCAAATGTAGCACCCCGACTTAGCTACTCCAGGGCTGTCACAGAAGGACAAACAGCCCATTGTCCAGGTGTGAGACTTACTAGACTACTTAACAGCAGAGCCTCTCCCCAGGTCACCTTACACACTGCAGGAGATAGGGAGATGTTCCTGCCTACAGTAACACAGGACTCAATATGAGATGCAAGGAAAGAGAATATTGGGATTGTGCTTGACTTACTACAGGATCTTTAGAAGGAGGGCTAAAAGTGAGGAGTAGGATGAAAGGCTTAGGAGCCAGGTGCTGGAGAGTACACAGTTCAGACTGGGTATCTGCAGACACCAGGGAGTCTGAGTGTTAGCTTTGTGGGGATCCAGAAAGTTCAAGACAAGCACCTGAAAGACCAAACATCTGAGGGTCAGGCATAATTCCGGACCAGCTATTGGAGGAATGTGTATGCATTTCTGCATCTGTAAGTTTGCCAGTGCACGAGACAAGTGGGAAGAACAGTAGTCACCAACTGGATATACCAATTGCCTAATGTTAGCTACTGGAGGAATCCATACTGTCTGTACATATGAGTTTTCCACTGCCAGGCTTCTCACTATGATTTAGCCAGGGAAGGGAACAAGATCAGTTGTGTACTGTGTGCATGTGTGTCTGCTAGGAATACACACTTGGCCTTGCTACTGGCTGGACCTGGCAACATAAAGCTGCTGCAGCCTTGCTTCTATGAATTACCACATTTGGGAACTCCTAACAAAGATGACCTGAAATCTTGGTAGTAACTTCTGAGGAAAACTGAATTACACACAAGAACCAAAACAGGACAAAATGCTGCCATTTATCAGCTGGTGAATTGTTCTGCTGTAGACTACAAATTATCTATGAGAAAGATGGCAAATGAAGTGAAATTTTTCAACGCTAAAGCAACTCCTGAGAAACAAACTAAGGAAAGATTTTTTAAATAAAATTTATTTGAACAACCTGATGTAGAATAATAAAGATAAATAGAGAATGAAATGTATGTCACTACTGTATATGCAATGCAGTTTAGGTTATTTAATGAAAAAAATTTTAAAAGCAATAGATCTGTTTTAGAGGAACTCCTTCTACAGCTGTTAATACTATCTGCTACAAAAAATGTGGCAAAACCAAAGTGGATTATGCATACATTAGGAAAGCAAATGTACTTAGAATGCAATTTTGCATCTTGGACACCACTGAACAGTAATTTCTTGTGCAGTTCTTTATTTTCTTATGTTACACAAGTTTAGATCCCTAATAACCTTTTAAGACTACATTTTGGCACTGCGGATTGCCAAAACAATTGAGAATTCACATACTATACACTTACACTCTTTTCATCTGCACAGAAGTGATTATTAAATCATAATATTTAAAATTATGCTTCTTACCTTGTTTTTTATACCAAATTCATAGACAACTTCTTTCTCTTCATCTCTCATTACTGGAATCTTTGAAATATTGCCAACATACACGTGACCTTTAATAACCGGCAACAAGTCAAAACAGGATCCAGCAATTTTCTTTAATGCCAAAGAAATTTTCTTGCAGTCAGGATCAATAACCTTCTTTACTGGTAGCGACGCTTCTGAACTGGAACCATGTGATGAATCACTGATTTCACAGCTTTGATCATGGAAAGCCTCCTGCATTTCAGAGATCGTATTTTTAGTATTTTTGATAGCAGCAATATCATTTGGCTCCAGCTTTGGTGGTTCACTGTCCAACCTCAGTCTCTTGGCACTTCTTGGCATAGATACCTGCAATAGTGTCCTTTTTTCAAAATGTTTTGATGAACTTGGTAACAATTGCTGATTTTGCACATCTTTGTCTTCATCTTTGCTACTATCAGATTTAAAACTGCTCCCAGTTTTAACAAAAGCAGTTGATGTAGATGCAATTGCTTTGAATCCACCTATTTGACACACAGGTCCTGGCAAACTTTGGCTGTCTGAAAAAGCACATCGGTTAAGCTGAATATTGCCTTTCAGAATGTTTAGTGTCCTTGCCCTTGCAGACAGCTCTGGATACATAGTGTCCAATATTTTCACAGAGTTCTCCTGAGGAGCTCCTGGACCAGCACTATTGGCTGCTAAGAGAGGAAATCTTCCTGGAACAGGAAGCGCATGCTTTGGAATGGAAGTACAAAATTTCAAAGGTGAGGAGCGATTCCTTCTGCCTCCTGCCATTTCTGAGGGTGAGGGAGGAGAAAATAAAAGAGCAGATTTTCCTGTTGGAGTATCTGTTAATGGAGACACGAGAGGAGGAATAGGAGTTTTGCGTAGTGGGGATATCAGGTCATCAAGGGGGGAAAGCAAAGAGGATTGACCTGGAGAAGACATTACTGGGGACAATGTACAGGCAGTTTTTGAAGGAGTAGCAATCAAAGGCAGTAGCAAGGGGGGCAGAGGAGGGCCTATCTCTTGCCTAATTTTATTTATCGTCTCAGATGAGCATTGTGTTTGCATAGAAGTATCAGCATTTGCAAGAACTGGCTGAGTTGCTTTGAAAGTCTTTGCTTTTCTTTTACCTTGAAACAGTCTCTTTGATAGCTTGGCATGCATTACTTGGGCAGCTGTCTTGGTAGAAACAGTCAAGATTTCAGCTGGTTCTTGCTCTCTGCACTTCAATTTATTGCTCTTTTTGAGAGCACAAGACTCAGACTCCAACATATCTAACTTCTCAAATACTGTCTTTTGTGGCTCAGAGGGCTGGCTAAGTGTCTCACAATTGCAGCTTACATCAGATAGGGCTGGATTTGTAAGATCCTTGATGAAAACCTGTTTTCTACTACTACTATCTATGATAACATCAGTATTGTTTTCTCCTGTGTTGTGAGTTTGATTATTATTATTTTCTTCTAACACTGAAACCCCCATAGCAACACTGTGTAATTCCACATTTGACTCAAGTTTTTCAGAATCATTTTCTTCTAATAAATTGCCAAGGGCTAACACTCCCGTATTTAATTTACCATTTTTTACAGCCAGCCTGCAATTTTCTGAGAATGTGGTTAGCATCTTGCATAGTGGTAATCTATTTTCTGAAGCATCTGGCATCACAGAGCCTTCTTTTGAGGTCCCAGTTTTTAACAGACTTTCCTCACTGCCATTGATGCATCCAGCTATGTTAGAATCTACCATGAGTTCATTAGCACTCTCAGTATTTTCAGAGGTTACTAATATACACTCCCTTTTGCAAGAGGCTAAGTCATAACCATCCCCAGCCACACTTGACCCCTCATTTGCAGCACCTGCAGAGATGTTTGTTTCACAGTGTGTATCCATATCCACCACAGAGCCTGCTTTTAGATGACTAACTATAGTAGGATTTCCTGGGTGCATCATTGAATGAAGTTCACATACTTGACAATCAGCATCAACAACTGCACCAGTTTCCAGAGCACCCCCTGCAATTCTCCTGGAAGCTCCCAGTTCCTTTCTGAACATGGGAAAACATTCAGAACATTTCACACACCCAGCTCTTTGTATAGAACAATCTTTCTCTTCAGAGTCATTGCTCTGCTCTGATATATCAAAATCATTTTTAGACCTTTTGATGGCATTTTTTGAAGATCCTTCAAAACTATTCAGTACTTTGCCTTCTCCCCCATCTGATAGTGAACCACTTCTAGAAGGATCTATTCCAGCCTCCCATATAGAAGTCCTGCATCCTGATTCTTGACAATCAGACTTTTGGAGGAGAAAAGCATCCTTCTTATAAGAGTTTTCATCCATGATCTGTGATTCAACACATGCCTGAGGTTCTTTATCTACTGGCTGCTCCTCACCTGGAATTTTCACTTCATTTTTGTATACATATTCCCTCTCAAAGCAGCTTGGTTCTTTGCACGTGTTGTCTGTTTCAGCAGGCAGGATCTCAGTACCCCCTTCCAAGCTTTCTGAAGAACAGCTAAATGTACTGCCTCTAGCACAATTTGTATCTCCCTTGTTTTCCCATGTACAGGAAAAAGCAGCCTTTTCTATGAAATCAGTTTCAATGAAACTGACAACTTTCTCAAGACTGAAATTTAAATCAGGAGGAACTGTGGATTCCAAAACAACTCCCACTTGCACAGGAGTATCCATTTCTTCATTATTTATAAAGCACTTGTCCAAGTCCTCTTGAGTAGAAAAAGCCAAACCACTTTTAAAATCCATTTCTGAAGTAGGCTGGCAGATGATCTCTGAAGTATTATTCTTCTTCACAACATTCTTTTCCCAGTCAAATGAACTGGAACAAGTCTCAGGCACCAATTCCTTGCTTTGTCCATTTAATGCCCCTTCTATTTCATCACATTTAACATTTTCAGTTATCAAGACCTGACTCAGAGGGTTTGCAAACTGTGCCTGAGAAGTAAGATTACTTTCTATTAAGACAGATTCAATAGCATCACCTCTTGCTAACAGCTTACTGCTTTCCTCTCTGAAACCTTCTGGATTAACTTTAGTCTCTTGAGATTCCATCAGTCTAAAGTTTTGAGTTTTGGACTGCTCACATTCTAATGTACTACACAAGTTTTCAGACTGTTTTATTTCACCTTTCTCTTCTGCAAAATCTGAAACAGAGGATTCACACTTTGCTACACTTCTTTCTGCATCAATAATGCACTCTGTCTCTGGCAATTCAAGTATACTTTCCAAGTCTGACTCCCCTTGAGATAAATTACTACCACTTTCCTGCT